CTTTGTCCACACCCTCACAGCTGGTCTCTGACAGAGGTTGGCATAGCCTGGCAGCAGCCATAATCAAACCTGAGGGGCAGACACCTACCTGTCCCAAATCCTGAGCCCCCCCTGGACCAGGAGAGGTGCAGAGATGGTTGTTGCTTCCAGTTTCACCGCAGACTCGCTGTCTGAGGTTGCCCCAGGCCCACTCCCACCCTTGGCCTTAGTTTTCTCATCTGTAAAATTTGGAAATGCAGCTGGAAAGCCCTTATTCATTTAGTCAGTGAAATGTACTGAACGCCGTCTGTGTGCCAGTCACTGGTCAAGCCCCCACTGAGCTCCCAGTCCTGAGGAGCCAGACAATTAAAACAACAATGACAAGAAGCTGTGTGGTCTTTGTCTACCCAAGATCCCTTCCTCTTCCTCTTAATCCCAGGGCCCTCAGCTCTCGCCCTCCCTATGTGGAGAGAAGTTCCCCTTCCCTGGCTTTCCATCCCAGGCCCAGGGGCTTCCATGGAATAGGGCTGGTGACAACACCTGCCCAACTGGTTCAGGAAGATAAAAGGGCCCAAGTCTGGCCCTTGTGTCACTGGACCCCTGGATTTGGGATCTCTAGGGTGCAGCCCGAGCCATTGATGAAATGAGGCTGAGGACTGGGTGGTGGGTACAGGGCTACTCAGGTCACTGACTCAGAGCACAGGTCCATACCTTTATTCCTGGGCAAAGGGCCGGAATCACCGAGAGCCCAGACCCACCCTCCACAGTTTATTCACTCCAGCGAGTCCTGGGCCAGGTGGAGCCTGGGTGGTAATCCAACCCAGCCAGGCCGGGATCCCAGGTTCCACTGGGCTTGGATGGGGAGTGGCCAGTCAGGGCGCTGGCCCTCAGGAATCTAGAAATGAAGGGGCAAAGTGGTTGGTCAGGTGGGGCCCGCCCACTGCCCCCGGGGCCACAACCTCCCGCAAACCTGAAACCGGGTTTGGGCAGCCTAACACCTTCAGACGCATCCTCTGCCTCATAGTCTGGCTCCGGCTCCGGCTCAGGCTCTGGGTCGGGCTCTGGCTCCTGGTCCGGCTCCGGCTCGGGTTCTGGTTCCAGTTCAGGTTCTGGTTCTGCCTCTGGCTCCGGATCCGTTTGCGATTCCAACTCGGGTTCAGCCCCTTCAGAGGCCTCAGCTTCTAACTCTGTCTGGGGCCCCTCGATGGTTCCGGATTGCACTGCCTCGGAGCTCTCAGAACCCCCGGCCTCCTCACTGTGTGAAGGTCTGGGCAGACCAGGGCATGGGGTCCCTGAGCCGGCTGCCTCCGGTGTCCAGTGGCCTGGGCAAGGAGGGTCGTAGCTGCGATCCCGGTAGCCTGGGGTGGAGGTGGGAGAGTCTCGGGCTCAGTTTACCCCTCCGCGGTTTCCTCCGCACACGCCCCCCTCTGGGGGAGACTAGAACTCCGCCCTCGGCACGCCCCGGCTCTGCCTTAGGCTCCGCCCCGCGCGCGCTCACCGGGGCCCACGTGCTGCCAGTCCCAGGCGGGGTCCGGCGCGCGCACGGTGCGCTGGGCGCAGCGCAGCAGCTCCTGGCAGGCGGCCTCGCCCTTGCTCTGCACCATCAGCAGCAGGCGGCGCACCCGGCGTTCGGCATCGGGCAGCGCGTCCAACGCCTCGTACTCCGGCCCGGTGAGCACGCCCCGCGCCAGCAGCGCATCCAGCAGCAGCCCCGAGTCCGCCTGCAGCGTCTCTACCAGGCGTTTCCGTTCGCGGTCGATCGTCTCTGACGGTCTCTCCTGCGAGTTGCCCATTCTGGGGGGTTCCTGGGGAGGGGTAGAGAGGGACTGGGGGCCAGGGCTTCCCCGCCCTTGACCTCTCTCCCAGGGCTCCAGTGAACACTGGTGCCTGGGGTCGAAGTTCACCTTAACCCCGGCGGCAGGACAGGCCGCAGCACCGACTCCAGCCTCTCGGGCCGGTTCAGTCCTGTCTCCTCCTCCGGCTTCTCCTTGGGTCCCTCAACATCAGGTGTGGCCCTCCCCTCCTCAACTCTCCCAGGACCTTGACTTTCTGACCGCTCTCCCCAATCAGGACCTCCCTCCTGAGCCCCAGCTGCCTGCAGATACTGCCGTTTGTTCAGACCCAGTTTATCCAAACGAACTTCTCTTTCACAAACCCGCTTCCGCGCCTTAACAGGCAAAGATCCCACACCCAGCTTGCAAGTCCTTTCCAGTCTATCTGCTACGCCCATAGCCAGCGGTTCTCAACCTGTGGGTCGCGACACCTTTGGGGGTGAAACGACCCTTTCACAGGGGTCGCCTAAGACCGTCGGAAAACACATATATAATTACATATTGTTTTTGTGATTAATCACTGTGCTGTAATTATGTTCAATTTGTAACAATGAAAATACATCCTGCATATCAGATATTTACATTATGATTCATAACAGTAGCAAAATTACAGTGATGAAGTAGCAACGAAAATAATTTTATGGTTGGGGGTCACCACAACATGAGGAACTGTATTAAAGGGTCGTGGCATTAGGAAGGTTGAGAACCACTGGTTTCACCTCCAGCCTAGACCCTCAGAGCCCTGACTCCCCTCCTCACCTAGAGCACAGTACTGAGATCCTCCCCTGCTCCTCTCACCCACCGGAGAATGACTACACCCCTTTTCCTGACTCCGAGATCCATCTTTCAGGGCAGGGCCTGCCCCTGCACCCTCTCACCAAGGCCACTACCATGTTGCAACCCCAATGTTGTCTCATGGCCCTTCCTGGTTCCCTAATCCCTGAGCAGAGATATCTGAATTCTTTTCAATCCTAGCTCTGACCAAGATCTCCCGGCATCACCCGAAACCCAGCTGTCTCCCTGCTGCGCTGGGAATGACTCACAGCCATCTCTTGCTTCATCTTGAAGTACCCAGGGCCAAACTCAAAAAAGCTACCAACCATTTATTTTTAAATGCTTGCTGAACTTTTACTGTTTTCCTCCATGCATCACATGAGAGATTGTCTCTACCAAACAGCAGGTGTCAGGCAGAAATTAATCTGCTGTGTCTACTTATTGACATCTGAGGACAATGGCCCATCCCTCTTGGATGGCCTGACCCAACAGCCAGGCCCCTGGCCTTAAGAGGCACAGAGGTCAGGCCCTGGACCACTCCCTCAGCCTATTTCCTCCTGCCTTAGTTTTGTCCACACAGCACCCTCCTGGTCTCATCCTCCCTTTGGGTCCCCTCCTCTACCTCCTTACCAGGTCCTAGGTCTGGGAGAGCAGATTTGGTCCCAGCCCCCTCCGGCCTCCCAGGTCTCTCTCTCATGACCACCTGGTGTCATGCTATGCCTCCCTGGTCATATTGAAGCGTCAACCCTTCCCCCCAGGTAACTGATCAGAGACTAGGACCACTACCCTTTACCCCTCCTTCTCCATTCATGCCCCACCTGTAACAAATGCTGCTATCCCACCTCTCAGCGAGTCTCTATCAGCACCCCCCTCAACCCCACCATCCTCACCTCATCTCCTTTGACAGTCTCTCTGAGTGCCTCTCACTCCCATCTCATCACCCCCACAGCACAGAGATGGACAACAGCTCTCTGGGGCAGGATTTATTGTCCCCATTTTACGGATGAGAAGACAGGATCAGAGAGACCAAGGGACAGAACTGCCATCTGACTTGCTCCAACCTGAATTACAATGAGGCCTCCTGCCCAGCAGAATGTCAGCCCTAACTACCTGGCCCCTGCTGCCCACTGCCCATCAGAGAGAATTCAGACTATCTGGCCTGGCCACTCTCCCACCTCCTGGACAGCGAGGCTTCGCCCCCACTTTCCCCAACCCTCAGTGTTAGGAGAATTAAGCCCCTGACATCTCTGAACCTTAGTAGATGCTATTCCTTAAGCCTGAAATACCCTTCCCCTCCCTCCAAGCTGTGGACCCATCCTCCAAGTCTCAAATAAATGTCACCTCGTCCACACCAATGCCTGAGTGTGTTATAGACGGACTGGTTTCATCTCTTCTGCTGTGTACCCCAGTGAACGGTGTATGCCCTCAGCACACCACTAGCTCTCTGCACACGGACCCCTACCCTCTTTAGCTGAGGTTTCCAAAGACTGTCCTCCAGGTGCAAGAAGGGAGAGGGGGTGGACGGAACCTACGCTTGTACAGGCGCAGAGGGAGGAGGCAGATCGGACTAGCCCCTCATTCACCCTCGCTCCTAACCAAGTTATTTTTATGTTAGCCTCCTCCTCCCATTGCCAAGTCCTGTCCTGGTAGGCCCTCCCTCTGAGACTCAAAGCTCAGAAGTAAATACTGTACCTAAGTTATGTGCGGCCAGTCCTTCAAGGGTCACGGGCCAGATCCTTCCCGGGCACCAGGCGGCTCCAATTCCAGGCCTGGAGGGGGCGGGAGGGGGGTCTCGGCCCCCCTCCCCACCTGGCTCCGCGGGCTCTTTTGCCCGGAGCGGGAGTTGTGGGAAACTGCGGAGCCTTTGGCAGGTGCGACCACAGACTCGCCTTATCTCCCCTCCACCCGGTCCCAGGGTTAGGGTCTCGCCGAGGGGCGGGGCTCAGACCTGGGAGCTCTGCCCGTGGGGGCTCGGATTCTACGCGATCTCAGTTTTTCTCCCTCCCCGGTTCAGGGGCTGCGTGCGGCCCCACTCACGGGTGGAGCCTTGGCGGGGTAGATGACAAGGCAGAAAGGGCTGGGCGGGGCGGGGGTGGGAGCAGCAGCTGCCGCGGGGGCGGGGGCGGGGCGGCAGGGCTGCCGGGAACCGGGAGGGGTAGGGGAGAGCGGGCACTCGGGCGCACAGGGCGCACAGAGCAGCGCTTTGCTCGGCTTCCTACGCTTAGCCCGCCTTCCCTCTCGCTCCTCCGGGCGCGCAGGTCGTCAGTGAGGGCGCAGTGTGGTCCGCGTCCCCACGTACCGGCTCACACTGTGGGCCTGGCGATTCCCAGGCGCTTCGCCCCCATCTTCTCGTGGACCCTCTCTACCTACCACAGATGAGGCTCAGAGAAGGGGACCCGCTGACCCAGGACCCCAGAGCGGATTCGTTGCGGAGCTGGGTGTGGCCCCAAAGCCCCCACTCCCGGAGGTTGCAGTGGGTCTGGGCCCGAGGATCCAGGCCCAAGCCGAGGAGCTAGGAGCAGGATGCCCGGGCATTCCCCTCTTCAGGAGTGAGTTTCTCCATTAAAGCTCTGGGACCTGGACGCTTCTACGAACGCAAAATCGCCCCTCCTCCCCAAAGCCTCTGTGCTCCCTGGTCGGTAGAGAAAAGAGACCAGAAACACAGAAAACAATGGGGTTTATGTGCATAACTTGGAACTGTAGTGGAAGGGGTCCTCCGAGCAGCAGGGTCTTTGCTCAGCCTCAGGAAGGCGAGAAAGGCGTAAGGCTGCAGCCCTCAGCCAGGCTGGCTTCCGACTAGAGAGTCTCAGGGGGAGGGATCAGCCCCGGGACCCAAGTAGGAGGCCCGGCTCGCAGTGGGGCGGCTCTGAATGGTTACAGCTCCAGGCAGGCTGAGCTCAGGGCCTCCCACAGCCGCCGGGACGTCCAGCAGGAGTGGTGTCCCAAGAGTGCAGTCCGTCCCTAGGAGGAGGGGAACAGTGCTCATCAGGGAAGGGGAGCCTCGCCCATCTTGCCCTCTAGTCCCCTAGGATGAAACTTCCATTCTCAACCTCCCCACTCTCACCCAGTGGTAAGGGGATGGGTGATGTAAGCAGCTCTCTAGGGGGCAGCCTAAACTCTCAAGGGGTGTCCCCCAAACACAAACTGCCCAGCCCACCCAATCATGGCAGTACTGGTCAACCAGGGCCTCCCCCGGGTTCTGGGTCACCACGACCATTACCTGGGCCTGGAGAATTTAACCCCCTGACGGCCAGTTCAGCCTCACCCTTCTCTGGAACCAGGGGCTGCATCTGCATGGGAGAACCCCACAGAAGCAGCTGAGGAAAGGAGCTAGGGCTCTGGCTGAGAGAACAGCCATGGACTGAAGGGCTTAGCCCAGCAACTCCCAAACCCCTGCCCTCTGCCCCATCTTACCAGGGACAGCTCCATGTCCAAGTCCATCAGGGTCCATTCCCGCCCTTGGAGGCTGGGGCCCAGCACCTGGGGGAGCTCTGGGTCAATGGTGCCCCTCCCAGGTTGCACAGCCCCATGTCCTGCTGAAGGCGTACTCACATCCAGGGGCCCTGCAGGCTCCACACTTTCAGGGAGGGCCCGAAGTAGCACTGAAGGCAGCAGACTCTCTGGGCTCTGGCCCCTGCCTTCCAGGCCCAGAGGCCCCCTGTTCACAGAGAACTGCTGTTGGCCTGCAGTACCACTCCCCCTCTAGTTAGGCTCCAAAGGAACCTGGACACATCGGGGTCTAAATCTGACAATATCTAGAAAGTGGTAGGAGAGGACCCCTCACAGAGGGGCACATAAGATGTCTCTGCCTCCTACCTTTGGCCTGAGGACTGGGTTGTAGAGCTGGGGTCTTGGGACGTGTCCCCTCCCTATGCAATGGCCAATGCCAGTGGTTTTAAATTGTTGTGTGTTTTACAATCTTTACAACCACTCAATGGACTCGGTTAAAATGCAGATTCCCGAGCCCTACCACAGAGATGTTTCCACTTTCCAGGACCTCCGATGCTGGTGCTCTTATCATTATTATTTTAATCCTCACCCAAAGATATTTTTCCATTGATTTTTAGAGACAGTGGAAGAGAAAGGGAAAGATAGAGAGAAATATCGCCCTGATCAGGGCCTGGGCCCGGGAGGAGCCTGCAACCGAGGTACATGCCTTTGACGGGAATCAAATCCCGGACCTTTCAGTCCACAGCCCGTTCCATCCGCTGAGCCAAACCCGCTAGGGCCTGATGCTGGTACTCTTTAGAGCAGCTCTGAGAAATCAGGTCATCGCACAGTACCCAACATCCTCCTCAGCCACCAGGGGGCAGACAAGGCTGGGAAGTCACAGGGGTCTAGTTGGTGCTGGTCTACCTGCCAAAGTGGCCCACGGGGCTCACAGTCAAGAATAGGTTCTCTGCTCACCTGTCAGGTACCTCCCTGGGCCCTCTTGGTTCAGGCTGTTGGGCACTCCTGGGCCCCTCAGGGCGGAAGCTCCCTTTTCCTTCCAGGATGGCCTGCACCACAGCCACAGGCAGTGGTGGTGGGGCTGTCACACAGAATCCACACTCGTTTGGGGCCAGAGCCTGCCCAGCCAGGCCGTCCACTCCTGGGCTGGCTGGCTCTTCTTTGAGCAATGCCTGGCTGTTCTCCCTGTGCCAGAGAAAAGCTTCAACCAGACCTGGCACTGACCTCTCCCCTACCCACAGCCATCTGGACTGCCAGGCTCCCCCCCACAGGCTGCCCAGAGGACAGCCCCTGTCTGTTTCTCCTACCTCCTGCCACCACTGGAGGGAAGAAGCCTGGTCCCTTCAGGGGCTGGAGAATCTTCCGGGATGTCAGAGATGGTGGGTCCCCTGGCCCTGTGAGGAATGCTGAGGCCCAAGGTGGTCTCTGGGAGGGGCTGTAAGTAGATTAGGCCTAACCCTTCACCTCAAGCCACAGGGTAATCCAGACCCAATTAGTACCCACATGGACCAGGTCTAAGGGGGTAGATTTGCAGCCCATGCTGGGGAGTCTGGTCTGGGGGTGGGGGTGAGGCTGACCTCCATCTTCTCTTTTTTGGGGGAAGAGGCAGAGGGAAGAGGAATAGGTTCTCCATAAGCCCAGCTGTGCCCTAGGGAGGGAAGGAGAAGCAAAACCTACCGACTGGATAAAGTAGGGGTCCTGCAGGAGGGCACCAGGTAAGGGGCAGGCACTGAATTTGGCCGATGTTGGGCATGAGCTCCCCTCATCCAGCATCAGGGACCTGTGCAGGTTGCAGGATACAGATTTCAGCTCATGCCCCACAGTCTGCACCACCTCCCTCCCACAGGCCCCAGCAGCCAAGTCAGCAGAGCTGAGGCCTGTTGCCAGGGCATCAGTCACATGCTGAAGGCAGAAGGGGCTCCCTCCCAGAGATGGGGGCCCTTTGGGGGTAGAACCCCAGACCCTCTGATGTTGGGATGCTTTCAGGGAAAGGAGAAGGGGCTGCTGGGATGGAAATTTAGGGATAAGGTCCTAGAACTGAGGGATCTGAGAGTTGGGTTTTGGTGGTGAAGTTGGGGGGTGAGGGGGAAAGTCCTACAAGGGGGGTCTTGGGGAGATGGCCTTGGGGGGAGGAAGACTGGGATAGAGGGAGAGGGATGAGGATTCCGGAGGAAGGGGTTTCTGGAGGAGGAGGCAGGGAAGGTGTGGATGGGGGGTGGGGGGCAGGTGGGTGTCCCTAGCTTTCTCACTCACAGCTTTCTCTTAGCTCCTGTGCTGCTGGACCCAGCCTGAAGTGGCCCAAAGAGACACTGGATCAGCTAAAGAGGAACAAAGGGTTCATTCACCCTTTGGACCTTGCCCCCAGCCTAACGACAATTTCAGGTGGGGTAGAGGACTGGCAGAGGGCGTATTGGGGAGTGGGAGAGGAAGTCAGTCGGTGGGGGAGAGGGATACCTTGCCAACGACCCGGTGCTGCTGGCCCTGGCTCTGCCGCAGTGTCACCACCTCCCTCCACAAGATCTCGTTTTGCCTGGGAGAGGGGGTGGGAAGGGGCTGAGGCATCTGAGAGTTGTCCCAGTCACCACTCCCCGCAGACTGGCAAGTCCCAGCTCACAACCACCCGGATGATCATCGTCCACAGAGAACAGAGTTCCACAGCCCGGCCCATTTTGTCTGGATGAAGGCGCCAAGACCCGAGAGAGGAAGGCTGCCCAGAACTTCAGTATCTTCTCACCCAGACTCCCCGCTCCCCTACCCCTTTCCCCCCTCCCTCCTCTGCGCCACGGACCTCCCTCTCCCCCAGCTCCCCTCCACCCGCTCCACCCCGTACTGCCTGAGCTCCCGCAGCCGCGCCTCAGTGCTCTCTTGCGCTCCCCGAAAAGCTTGCACCTCGCCCAGCAGCCGGCCCAGGTCCTCGGGGCGCCAGCGGCCATCGTCACTGCGCAGCGCAGGCGCCTGCAGGTGGGAGGCACGGTGGGGCCTGAGTCACAGGAAACTGGGCCAGCCGTCCCAGCACCTCCACCCGGGTTCGCTGGTCCCTGCAGGCTGCCCCACCTTGCGCCGCACGCGGTCCAGTAGTTGCTCCCGGCCGCGCACGAAGCTCGGGTGCTGGAACTCCACGTGGTCGCGCTCGGGCCGGAGCAGGCCTCCCTGCTCAATGCTCACCACCTTCCGAAAACCATCTGCGGGGGGCGGCGTGGAGCCGTAAATGGCCCCATCCCCTCGCACCAAGTCACCCACCGCCAATTCCGGCCAGGACCTAGGGACTCACACATATTGAGTTGCCGAACAAAGCTCGCCATGTTGCTGTGCTTGAAGTACTGGGGCAGCACTTCCTTGGCGAAGCGGCTCTGGTCGTTTACGAGGAAACTGGTCCCGCTCTGCGGAGAACGCCGCCCTCCCACCGAGACCGGAGGACAACGTGAGTGGTGCCGGTCCAGGGCCAGCAGCGCGCGGGCGCACACACACACACACACACACACACACACACTCCGGGACCCTATCCCTCAGGAACCAGGGATGAGGCCAGGCTAGAACCAGTTCCGAGGCCTAGCCTGGAGTGATCACAATGAATCCCTAGCCCAGCTGGGCCCCGACTCCGTACCAGGTTCTCAGAAAGGAGCTGCAGAGGCCAGACCTGGGTTTCAGCCCCACAGGGCGGGGAGGGGGGCGTGCCAGACCCGTGATGCGACTCTGAACTAGAATCAGACCCAGCCCTTCTCTTCTGGCCTCTGTTTTCCGATCTGTCTGATGGGTTGGTGTGGGAACTAAATGACCATAAAGAACCTTTAAGTTTCCAGAAGGCTCTTTCTCTTTCCTCGCCCACAGGTCACCTCACCTCCATCTCGCACACCCCCTCCAAGATAAACCATCCTGGACCGCTGAACCGAGGAGCCCACAGCCGGCCCGGCGGGGGTGGGGCGGGAGAGGATGCTCACTGACCGGGAGAGATCCCGAGTGCCCGGGGAGGAGTGCAGGGGCCCCAGCCCTCACCGGGCTCCAGCGAATCAGGTGGTCTGTGCTCGGGTCGCCCACCAGCGCCCACAGCTTGCCCAGGAAAGCGGGCACGGGGCTGGGGCCCGGCTCCGTGGGCAGCGCGGCTGGTGCCTCCTGCATGGTGAAGTCTCGGCCCAGCTCAGCGCTCGGCCAGTCCGCCGCGGTCTGGCCAAAGCCACGGAAAGTGCTGTGTTTGCCGCCCGCCCTGCCCTACTCCGCCTCCCCGCGCCGGGTCAGGTGGGGGCCACGTGCCCCCACGGGGCGGGGCTCAGCCTGGGCCACCCCACCAGCAGACAGAAAGGGCAGTCTGGGATCGGATGTGCGTGCAGGGGTGCGGGGGAGAGGTGGCCTGGGTTCGAGTTCCACCCTTCTCAGAACCGCTATGTCTTCCATTTTTCTTCTTAAGAAATAGCCTGTGCGCAGCCTGGTGTGCGCTGGTAAAGTCCTAGAAGGCGAAGGCCATGGGCACAGTGAAGCCTCCGAGCGGTCAGAGAGGAGCGGAGTAGGGAGGGAGGAGGAGAAGCCGACACCCCCCTCCGGAATCCTGGGGCTTCGCCGCACCCCTGCCTCCCGCAGCTGTTTCGGTACAGCGGACCTTGCGGTCTCAATCTCGCCCACTCCTCCGACCTCTGCAGGATCCCTGCCCGCCCCCTTCAGAGCCGACCAGGTCTGTCACCAGACACAGAAGTGCTGCAGGATTTGTTTATTCCACACTTACCCGCAAGGCTCGGCCTGCGCTTGTGCCCTCCCCTGCCACACCCCACCCGGGCGGAGGGGGTTGCGGAGCTGGCGCAGAGGTGGGAGGTTGGAGGAGGGTGATCCCAGTACCCGGGCACATCGGGGCCGCCTGCAGATGTCGAGAGCACTGAGTGGACGGAGGGCACCCCTCCCCCCAAATCCTCGAGAGGCACAAGTGGCAACAGAGTCCTGACGGAGCAGGTTAGCAGTTGGCGCTCTCTTGGGCACATCCACCCGGCATCTGAGGGGCCGCACGCCTGCTGGGGGCCGGGGCGGGAGAGGGCTTGCCCCATCACTCCACACGCGTGGGCCGCCAGGGATGGCGCTCCCGCGTTAGTTTGAGCGTGTAGCTGCGCAGGCGCGGGCAGTGCGCGAGGAAGGCGTGCAGGACGGAGGGTCGCACCACGCAGAAGCAGTGCACCTCGCGCAGGCCCGGGCAGCGCTCCGCCAGCAGCTCCAGGGCGGAGTCCAGCTCGGCAGAAGCGGCGGCGCGCACCTCGAGCACGCGCAGGGTTGCGGCGTAGTGCAGCGCAGCGAAGCGCACGGGGCCGGTGCTGTCACCAGAGAGGCAGAGGTGCAGCGCAGCCACTGGCACTGCGGGCTGCAGAAGGCGCGTCACGCTCTCAGCAGGCATCGCCGGCTCCAGTTCCACCTCCACAGCCAGGCCAGGGTGGCGGCGGCGCAACACGGCCCAGGCTTCGTTGGGCAGAGGGGGGGCCCGTGTGTCCTCAGGGCAGGCGCACCGCAGGGCCAGGAAAGCGAAAGGCGCGCGGTCCGGCGCCGCCAGCACCTCGAGGGCGGCGTGTGACAGGCTGGCCAGGTGCAGGCCGAGGGTGCACAGGCGCGGGCAGGCCTCTAGCAGCTCGAGCACGGAGCCCGGCCCCACGCTGCCCACCAGCGTGCCGTTGTTCAGGAAAAGGCTGCGGAGCTCGGGGCAGCCGCGTGCCGCCCGCAGCACCAGCGCGTCGTCTAGAGTGAAGGGCAAGCGCCGCAGGTCGAGGTGACGCAATTCGCGAGCGGCCCGGCAGATGGCGGACACGGCGTCCAGGACATCGCGGCCCGCGTCGAAGAGCGGCTTCTCTCCGCGACACTCCAGGCGCAGGCCTCGAAGTCCTGGGGTACGGCCTGCCAGTGCGGTCAGCAGCTCCTTGGCCATCCGGCGGCTCGGCTCCTTCGATGGCTCAAATTCCAAACGCAGGTTGCGAATGTGGTCCAGGCAGGCTGACAGATATGGTAGTAGCATGCCTTCTCGCTCACAGTAGCAACTTGGGGTTAGCGCGGTGGAGAAAAAGCATGGGCTGTGTCCCCGAGAGCAGAAAAGAAACCTCTACCCATCCCTCGGCCTGGATTCCAACTACCATCCCCTTCTGCTTCCTACCCATACACCTCCCTGACCCCTGACCCGACCATGTCTGGTTACCCCAAACTAGCCGCTAATGCTGGGAGGGAACGCCCACCCTATCCCTTTAGAAGACTTCAGATGCATCTGATGCAAGTTGAAACCCTATGCATGGAGAGCCAGGGTTTTAGGAACTGGGTTTTCTCAGTGGTCTCTAAGGAGACATGCATAGCCAAGTTCACACTCGCTTCAGCTACATTCTAGCTGAGTGACTTGCAGGAAGTGTTTAACCCTTTCTGCCTCAATTTTCCATCTATGCAATGGAGATAATACTATCTATTAATATATGTAAGGCACTTATAACAATGGTACATAGTAGGCAGTCAATAAACGTTAGTAATTATTATTCTTTTTAATACAGGGAGTCACTGAATCTCCCCAACCCCCAGACTCCATGGAGAGAGGGAGAAGACTGGAAGGTGGCAGGAGGAAGGAGGGGAGGAATGGGCTCACCTGATGGTCGTGTCGTGCCACACAGTGCTGCAGATGGCAGCAGCGGCCCAGGCTCTGCAGACCCTGGCGGCGGCGGCACGGTCCCACAGGGGCAGGTGGCAGAAGATGAGCGCCAGCACCTCCTGGGGCAGTTGCTCTCCAGGCTCAGCCATTGCTGGTGTGGGGTGGGGGCTGTGAGGCTCCCAGCAGCTCTGGCTTGGAGAGAGAAAGGTGTCCCTGGGCCCCGGAAAGCCAGAGTGTGGAGGAGAACACCAGAGCCCATGTATGGAAATACCTGTGGCCCAGGAGCTAATACACAATTTGTGGAGCCCAGTGCAAAATGAAAATGCAGTACTCGTTCAAAACATGTTTAAGAACTTCAAGCCAGTGACAAGCAGAGCATTTAACCAAGTCATCAAACCAAGCATGGGGCCCTGTGCTACTGCACAAGTCTCAGACTCATGAAGTCGGCCCTGGATGCTGAAGGATTTCTGGTTTATTTGCTCATTTATTTATTTATTTTCTCGTTTAGAAGGGAAAGAGAGAACATCTGATTCTCCTTTACACTACGTTATCACTTGTTGGGGGGAAAAAATCCCCATTTTATACAGTATTAAAAGGAAAGCAAGCACGATCTATGCGCCGAGTTGATAAAGTCCAAGTGCCCAGGTTTTAGAGTCTAAAATGTAGACAGTGCTCTCTGATCTTCCTCCCAGTAACTAAAGTCTTTCCTAGAGAGGTTGGAAGGCGACTGCATAGAGGCCCTGACTCTGAACAACCTGGTCCTCCCCATCCAGCTCAGAGAGCCCACCTCACCTCCCCCTGCCTCCCTTTACATAACACTCAGAGCTGCCCAGGCCAGTCTTCAGGGGTCACTGAACTGCTTCCTTCCCAGCTCGGACCCTCAGTACTAGGGAAGGACTGGGTCCCAGCCCTACCTGGAGGGCCGTTGAAATGAGGGCTTCTCAGACTGCGAGGGGACCGGAACCACTCCGACATTTGTTCCCAATACAGAATCCGCGGGCCCATCTACTAAATCAGACTCTCTGGAAAGAGGAGGGTCCAGGGCTCTGAATTTCAACAAGGGCCGGTGGACCCCACAGGTCCCAAGGCGATTAACCCCACTACTAGCCTCGCCGGTCCCTAGAGAGTGACAGTAGGGTTAATAGGGCGGGAGCATTAGGGAAGACTTTTAATTGACAGGGACCAGAGCCAATCAGGAAGCGGAGGAGCGGTGGGGCACCGCTGAATCCGCCTAGAGAGGGGAATGCCCTTTCCCGTCCTCCCCTCGCCGGGAAGACGTCCCGGGTACTTCCAATGAGAAACTAGTGGGAGGAAAGCTTGGGGCTCTGAGTTCAAGTCCCGATCTTGACCCCAGGGCAGTCCAGGCTCCCAGACTCAGCTGGGATTCCGCAGGTCCACCCCCCGAGCGAGCGCGGACCTTCCCGGGCGGGCGTTGTTGGAAAAGTTGCCAATGTTATTTTAAGGTGCTTGAAGGTTTTCATACACAACGTTCCACACCACTTGCCAGTTTTCGATTTCCCGTATTTTCCAGACTAACGCTTCCTGCTGGAATTTGCGCGTGTGTCCTGGAAGTTCAGACACCCTCGATCAGGCTTCCACCTGGGACCCACCGGCACCCCGTCTTGAGTGGCCGGGAGCAGCAGAGATCGGAGATCAGAGATCATCGAGCTCGATCCCCCAGAAAGCATCCGAAAATTCTGGTCCCCAGGGGACGTCCCTTTGTTGACCCGTCTGTTTCCCGCCCGAGGAAGCGGGGCAGCTCTTTCGTCCTGGAGCCCTGTGGTCTCGTTAGAGCCACAAGTCCCCGAGGTCCCTGGCCGCGGGCAGTGTTTCCTGCCGTCTAACCTCGGACGCCAGTGTCTTACCTGCTAGGTGGAAAGGCTGGGGACTCGCGGTGGAGAGCAATGGGCGAGAAGGAGCCGCGGGGAGCCCCGGGGGCGGGACGCCGGGGCGGACGAGGCGGCTCGAGCTGGGGCGCCGCCCCTGCGCTTGGCGCACACCCGGAAGCCGCGCGAACCCAGTGGAGCTGGCGTGGGAAGCCAGGCCGGGCCTGGGGGCCAGGTTAGTGCAGAGGGTGGGTGGGCTTCGCGGTGCTGGCGGGAGCAGAGGTGGATCCTGGCTCAGGATCCTGGAAGCGGGGAGGTTGTCATCCGAGGCTGCCCGGCCAGGGGGTAGCGGTGGCCTATTGGGCTGTTTACGTGGGAGGCAGGAAAAGGGGTACCGACCTTGGCCCCCCGGGTTCCCTGTCCCAGCTAGGGGCTTTCGAGAGGCCGCAGGTGAGAAGGCGGAGCTGGTTTTGAATGAATCTGTGAGCAAAGACCTCTTGCCCCGTCCCAACCAGTCGTGCGTGAGAAATCCCAGCGTGAGGGTGGGCAAGTGGGAGGCTTGGGAGCTCCCCTGCAGGGCTCGGAAGGGGTGCAGCTGAGTAGGGGACGCGCCCGCCCGGATGCTAGGAGTCGCAGGCTTCCAGTCCTCTAGGGCCCACGCCCGCAGGCTGTTGCCGCTCACCGGGCCAGAGGTGGGGCTGTTTCCCCCTCCCCCACTGTGAGGGTGTGTTAATGGGGCGATGGCCCCTGGCTGTAGAGGTGTATTTTCTTGAGTCGGTACCCACGTGTCACTCAGTCTCAGCCCGGCCAAGCGTTTCCGGGACGCATCCTGGCCGGGCCCAGAGAGGCAGACTCCGGGAGGGTGAGGCTTGGGGCTTCCCGAGGAGGGGCTTCTGTGGAAGGAGGCGTAGGAGGAGTTCCCAAGGGGACTAGGAGCCTAGGGCCTGGCAGACCTGTTGGACTTCCCCCATTTGTCCAGCCCTAGTGGGTGTGATGGAGCTTCCCCACTCCTCCAGGTTTCAGTGCCCCCCCTCCCCGAAAAGCCTGCTGGGCAGACTCTGGCTCGTCCTACCACCTCCCTCCACCCCTTGGGGCGGGACCACATCCATCCGTGGGGTCTGCACCTTCAAGTCAGGGGACTAAGAAAACCTGAAAGAGCAGACGTTTCCAGGGTAGGTTTTCACTCTTCTACCCCCCTTGTCTCCCTACTTGGCCTCATTTGCACCTACAGAGATTCACCCCGTTTTGTTTTTGTTTTTATTTTTTTGCTTTTTAAGGAAAACAAATTAATTTTGCTTTTTTAATACAAAGAACATGTATTTTACATAAAATAGAATATTGCTAAATACAATGACAATTGAACACCCCCCCCCATCTCCCCCATTCCCATAGAGCATTGTTTTGGGTAAACACACAAGTATTAATATGTTTTCTACCAAAAGGTTATTGGTATGGGGGTGGGGAGCTCAAAAGCCATATCCCTGGGCTCAGACTCAGGATAGGACCATCACCAGGTATTTTTCTTGCCAGGTCTGGGCGATGCTGCATGGCCCCTGCCCAGTTACTGTCCAGGCTTTGGCTCTCAGGTTGAGGTCTGGGGCAGATCTGAAACAGTTGCCCCAACACTATCCAAGTCTATGGTCCTGGCTCCTTCTGGCATCCCTCCTCCGAGGTTCCCTGTCCCTCATGTAAATAGATGCCAGCTGAGACCACCCCATCTGTACTGCCCAGAGCAATGAATCAGTCCAGGGTGCTCACACTGGGGCTCAGCATGCTCCTACCCACCATATGTAAATGCCAAAGATCAGAGAGTAAAGAAGGCTGATGGGGCAGGAGGTGGGGTCTTGAGCCCATGTTTATAGGATAGATAAGGGTGGGATGTTGCCTCAGGTGAGGTGAGGAGGAAGGAGCAGGCCTCTTGGCACTGTGACTAGGAGGCCACTGAACTGAAGGTCAGTGCAGTGTGGTTCCCTGGTTGGGAATTTTGCCCCTGGTCTAGGGCTAGGATTTTGTCAGTAGATGGAGGATATGCCAGAACCACAGGGCCCTGACTCTCTCTGAATAGGGAAGGAATCTGTAATAGAACAATTTCAGCTGCATAAGACAAGAGCCCAGCTCCAAGTACTTTGGACCAACAAGGAATGATTTAGCTCACATAACTGAGAAGTCCAGGGTGCAGCTGGAGCCAGGGGCATAGTATGTGGTTGGGAGTGCACCTCCTCATCTCTGGGCTCTGTTTCCTTTGTGTCAGTTTCATTTTCATTCAGGCTCTTCCCAAGCAGTGACAAAGGAGGGAGACCTCCCCTTCCTTCAGCTCAGCCCCAAGGGAAGAGAAACTAGTGCCTCTTTCCTATTGGTCCGGCCAGAGTTGCAGGTTGCTTGGTCTGTCTTGAACCTGCCCGACTCTGAACTAATCATTTTAGAAAGGTGAATGGAATATGCAGGTTGGCCAGGCCTGTTTCACATGCCCACACCTGGAGCTAGGGAGTGGGGGTTAGCCCTCCCAACAGGCACATGGATTAAAGGGAGGAGAGAAGGCCCCCAAAGTCCATCAGGATTGGGGAAGGGAATCTGGGCAGGCACAAACTATAGGTGTCCTTTGAAGTGAAGTCAGAATGTGTAGTTAGGAATGCAGGTGAGAACACTGCTGTGGTGGGAGAGGGGGGCTGTGTCCTAAGGGATCCTGGGAGCTCAGGTCTAAGCTGAGGGCATACCAGGACCGGGGTCCCGTTGTCTGTGTGGCATGGGCACCTCCAGGATGACGTCTCCGGTCAGCTTCGGTAAGAGAGACAATTGGTCTGAGGAAAAGGCATAGCTTCTCTGCCTCCACTGCAGGATAGCACCTTTCCCCTCGCGCTACTGTGACCACGGGCTCTTCTTCTGAGAAGGCAGTGGAGGGAGGGACAGTCCTCACTGCAAGTTTGGGCTGAGCTGGGCTGGACTCTGTAGAGCCAGACACACAAGGGGGCTGCCTGTGAGATGATGAACAAGTATGCCAACTGGGTGGGGACAACTGGGCCAGGTGGGACTGGATGGGTTGCCCCCAGGGCTGGGTTTGGGGTGATCTGGATGCCTATCTGCATCTCCAGGAGGCGAGATGGCAGCTGGGCCAAATGGGCTGGAGGAGTGGGTGGGCAGCGCATACCTGTTTGTGGAGTCCTCGCTGGACAAGGTGGCCCTGTCAGAAGCTTACGCTCATCCCCAGCAGAAGGTGGCGGTGTACAGGGCTCTTCGGGCTGCATTGGCAGGTGCGTGATTGAGTCATACGTGTAAAAGGGGAGGCTCTTGGTGGGCGGGGCCAGGGGCTGAGAAACTCCCCCCCCCCCCAATCTGTTCAACTCTGTGGGCATGTGCCTAACCACCAGTAGGGAAAAGATCTGATGGCAAGGATTGGACTGGTTGCTTAGGCTGTCTTCTTTGTTACCCATATGCGCCCTTGGGTGTAGATATCTAATCTACGTGTCTATGTATGGTCTACCTATGTGTGCACTAACGTCCTCCACCCCCCAAACCAGTCGGATCACTGCTTTCTACTAATCTCGCACATCTCTCTCCTCTTTTCCTCTCTCACTGCAGCACTCCTTGCCCCAAACCCCTTCCCAGTAACTACCTTCTGGGTCCCCTTCCCATATCAGGGCAGAGGCGACAGGAGACTGAGCCTGGTTGGGGGATCCCACTCTGGGGCAGCAGGAGCCATACTTGGTGGAGGCCTAAAATCCGAGACCTCCCACCCCTTCCCTGCCCCGCTGGCCTCCTACCCAGATGGCTTGGCTGCCCAGGGCATTCGCCCCCCTCTGTGCTGCAAAATCTCTCCGCACGTCCCCTCTGCACACCTTAATTTGGGGCTCCAGAGATGGGGCTAGGATGGTACCCACTCCCTGGGATAGGTCCCGACCTTCATTCTGGCATCCCAATTTTGTTTTCTGGCTGGGAGCTCTGGGGTAAACCCGCGCTCCTAGGTCTGGGGGCTAGGGAGGGGCTCTGACCACGGGCTTCACCCCTCCTCCGACTGCTTGGAGAACGGTCCCCTGGCGGACCGTCTGGCGCCTGACTGCCCGCCTCCGCAGAGAGCGGGAGCCCTGACGAGTTGCAGATGCTCAAGATCCACCGCAGCGATCCGCAGCTGATTGTGCAGCTGCGTTTCTGCGGACGCCAGCCCTGCGGCCGCTTCCTCCGCGCCTACCGCGAGGGGGCGCTGCGCGCCGCGCTGGAGGGCCGCTTGGCCGCATTGCTCACCCTGTACTCGGTGCCGTTGCAACTGGAGCTGCGCGCCGGCGCGGAGCGGCTGGACGCCTTGCTGGCAGATGAGGAGCGTTGTTTGAGTTGCATCTTTGCCCAGAAGGTGCGGCGGGACTGGGCCCAGAGGTGGGGCAGGGATTCGTGGCTAAGACCCCCACCGACGCAGCATTCCTCTCCCTAGCCTGACCGGCTCCGGGACGAGGAACTCACGGAGTTGGAGGATGCGCTCCGGAATCTGACTTTTGGCTCAGGGGGCCAGGGTGGCAACGTAGAGGTAGCTCCAGCCCCCATGCAGTCCCTGGCCCCATCTTCGTCGGAGAAGCCACCGCCACCGCCACCGCCACCATCTGGCCAGACTTTTATGTTCCAGGGCCAGCCCATAGGTGAGGCGCCCTTGGAGAGGCAGAGACAGGGTCACCTGGAAATGGCAGGGCGGGAATGGAAGGGTATCGGTGTGCCCCCGCCCCCAGCTCACTCCGCTTCTCCCTCCCGCCCCCCCCCCCCTTGCAGTGAACCGGCCAATAAGCCTGCAGGACCAGCAGACGTTTGCGCGCTCAGTGGGCCTCAAATGGCGCAAGGTTGGACGCTCCCTGCAGCGTGGCTGTCGCGCACTGAGGGACCCAGTGCTGGACTCCCTGGCCTATGAGTACGAGCGCGAGGGGTTGTACGAGCAAGCCTTCCAGCTACTGAGGCGCTTCGTGCAGGCCGAGGGCCGCCGCGCCACGCTGCAGCGCCTGGTGGAGGCGCTCGAGGAGAATGAGCTCACCAGCTTGGCAGAGGACTTGCTGGGCTTGGCGCATCCCGATAGCGCCCTGGCCTAGGCTGGGTACCAGACACAGGGACGGTCAGCCAGTTGCCCAGCCAGGGTTTGGAGCACCTGGATGACTCTAGGGTCCCTTCTTGCTGCTACGGCTGCCCTGTCCATTCACAGGACTTACAACCCTACTTAGTGGCGCTGCTGGGCAGAACTGACTGCCTTCTCCAGGAGTCAGACCGGCACCCACCATGCCTGCTGCGGTGCCATTGGGGATTCCGCCCCAGATACTATGATATCAGTGTGTGGGGGTGATCTGCTGCAGAGGTCGGCCTCACCTCACCTATCCCAGAAGGGGGGCTTTTGGCCAGCCCTTACCTCTTCTCTCATTGCACAATCACTCATTAGGCACCTGCTGTTGTTTCAGGCATCATCCTGGGTGCTACAAATACTTTGGTGAACAAGACAGCTCCCAATTCACACTCAATATGGGACTCCAAGTATTAAGCAACAGTAATAAAATGTTACCTGTTTCTCTTTTTTAATATTTAATTTTTTGATTTGAGGGAAAGAGAGGAAGGAAGAGAGAAACATCAGTTTGTTGGTCCACCCATTTATGCATTCATTGGTTGCTTCTTGTATGTGCCCTAAGGATGGAGCCTGCAACCTTGGCTTATCGGGATGACACTCATTTGAGCTACCCAGCCAGGGCATGGTACCTGGTTCTTGATGTGAAAAAATACAAGGAATTGTGGGAGCACTAAGCAGGGGCCTAACCCAGATTAGGGCTTAGGCTTCCTGGGAGCGATATGAGTGTGAATAAGGGAGGGTGTATGGGGGTCGGGGGGTTTAGAGAATGGCAATGTCCTGGGCATAGCCAGCCTCAGGTGAGGTCTTGAGGGAGGAAAGAGGGAAAGATGTTCCAAGAACAGGAAGTTTGAGTGTCTGGACCTAGGGGTGGCTGGATTTGTAAAGACCGGCTGGTGAGTGGGAGAGGTGGATAGTAGGGGGTCTGGGAAGCCATATTTTACAGAGTTTGGTTTTATCCCGAGGTCAGTGAGAAGCAAGGGTTTCAGGGATGGAGGCTGGGTGGCTGGTGAGGATGGAGAGAGAGCGAGAAGCCCGGGCTGGGACAGTGGTAGCAGAGATGGAGGGAAGGGATGAACACTGAGAGTTGTTTTAGACGAAGGATAACAGGCCTGGTGACACTGGATAAGGAGTGAGGTGAGAGAGGACCCCAGAGTTTCTGTCTTTGAAGTTGGATTAAAGGTGAGGCTTCTGCTGAGTTACAGGCGGGCCTGGAGGAGGTGAGGTGCTTGCTCTGTCTGGAACAAGTTGGGCATGATGTTCCCTGTAGAACATCCAGGGAGAGTGTAAGCTGGATCTTTAGTTTTGAGTTCAGTAGAGGGTCAAGGCTAAAGATACACCAATGGACAGAGCGGAGTGGGTGGGGTGGCCCAGGGGGAGGTCCTGAAGGACGCTGACCAGAAAAGGAGCCCCCCAAAGAGCAAAGAAAAAGTAGAGTTGGAAGCCAGGGGAATACCCACCTGCTGTGGGGAGGCTGCAGATCAGTCAAGGAAAAGGCTCCTGGGTGGGAGGTATTTCTAGGACATGGCGGGTTCAGCCTGAAGCCAGGCCACAGGGGCCTGGGAGGTGAGGTGGTGGAAGAAGCGATAGCAGACACCTGAGAGGTCTGTGAACAGGAAAGTGAGGCTCGGGAGGCAGGGCTTGCTTTTGAAGGGAGAACGTTGTGGTGAGTTGTCAGGAGCAGGCATAGCCACTGGAAGGAGGATGGCGCTGGGTAGCGGTGCTGGTTTCCATAGCCTGTCCTCAAACTCGGGTGGGGTGGGGAGGACTGTCTACTCCAGGCTCCTCTCAGACTGAGTTCCAGGAAGAGGGAGCTGGCAGCAGAGCTAGGCAAGGACTGGGCCCTCAGTCTCCACAGTACCTCTCTGCCCACCTGGGCCCCAGATTAAACCCTTTGCTCGCTGGCCTACTTCCGGAGCTCCCTAATCTGGCCTGCAGTGGCCCAGGCTTGGTTATTTCTACCTGGAGGCCATGCTGGCCTGGGGCATTAGGGAGCAGGGGACTCAGAATTGCCTCTGAAGAGACAGACTTAAGTGCTTACCTGTGAAATTAATTGGTGAAAACACACACACACACACACACACACACACACACACAGGGTTGGCCTGTGTTTTTAATAAATTAATTTCACAGGTGAGCACTTAAGTCTGTCTCTTCAGAGGCAATGTGTTCCAGTGGATGGATGGGGGAGAGGCAAGGGAGGACAGAGGAAAGGGTCCTGGACTGAATTCCCAAAGACCTGAGGCTGCTTTTTCCTGCCCCCGCCCCCCGAAAAGCAGAATTGGGGAGCTTGAGCCTGTATCCAGACCAGAACCCACCTCTCCGGGAATTCTCAGAAAGAGCTGCCTGTTAGGATCCCTCTCTGAGATTAGTCCCCACTCGGAGACAGCACTCCCGGAGTCGCCTGGGTGGAGCTGAACTCCAGCTGTCCGCGCGCACAGCTGGAGGGTCACGTGGTAGCAGCCCCAGCCCCCCTTTCTGCCAACGCTGCATCTGGCCCAGGCGGGTCCATGGCCGCCCTTGGGGCCCTGAGCTGAGCCCCGGAGGCCCCCGCGGCCGGGGCCCTGCCGCTCCCAAGGGCCAAGCGTGTGAGTGTCCACATCACAAGGACCGACGTGGTGAGTAGAGAGTAGAAGGGATTCGGCCGCAAGGCAGGGAAGGCGGGTGGGGGTGGGGCTGAGGCTCCGTTTCTCCCTGCCCGGCCTTGGAGCCCCGTCCAGGACTGAAGTTGAGGGGCGGGAGTTGGCTGCTTGGAAGACTCCTTGCCCTTTCAGGGTGCCATCCGGATCGGGGTGGGGGGATGAGGGGAGTAACGGAGCCCAGAGGAGGGGGATGAACCGCCGGTAGTTGGGGAACCCCGGCGGGTGGCCTCCAGCCGCCTCCCCTCGGGGAGGGCGGGGCCGGGAACCCTGACAGAGTTTCTCCGCAGGGGGCGCGGGCGCCGGCCACGCGGACATGAGGTGGAGGCTGCGCCTACGTGGGGACGCGTTGCTCACGCTGATCCTGGGCACCGCCCTCAGCCTCCTGCTCTATGCGCAGCGCGATGGCAGAGCTCCCACCACTAGAGCGCCGCGAGCGCAAGGGAGGGCAGCGCGGGGGCCCACCCCCCGGCTCCGTGTATTCCAGGCGCCGGACGCGGGCGCAGCCCTGCAGGTCTATGAAGAGGATACGCCGGAGCCGCCCACGCCCACCGGTCCCTTTGACTTTCGCGGATACCTGCGTGCCAAGGACCAGCGACGCTTCCCCCTGCTCATTAACCAGCCGCACAAGTGCCTAGGCGATGGCGCACCTGGCGCAGGGCCCGACCTACTCATCGCGGTCAAATCAGTGGCGGCCGACTTTGAGCGGCGCCAAGCTGTGCGCCAGACGTGGGGGGCTGAGGGTCGCGTGCAAGGGGCGCTCGTGCGCCGCGTGTTCTTGTTGGGCGTGCCCAAGGGCGCAGGCTCAGACCCAACGGAGGCGGAGGGGACAGGCTCGCAAGCGCGCTGGCGCGCCCTACTGCGTGCTGAGAGCCGCACCTACACAGACATCCTGCTTTGGGCCTTCGACGACACCTTCTTCAACCTAACGCTCAAGGAGATCCACTTTCTGGCCTGGGCCTCAGCCTACTGCCCCAACGTACGCTTCGTTTTTAAGGGCGACGCGGACGTGTTCATGCACGTGGGAAACCTGCTGGAGTTCCTGGCGGCGCGGGACCCGGCGCAGGACCTGCTTGTGGGTGACGTGATCGTACAGGCACGGCCAATCCGGGCGCGAGCCAGCAAGTACTACATTCCCGAGGCTGTGTATGGCCTGCCGGCCTACCCGGCCTACGCTGGCGGAGGCGGCTTCGTGCTTTCGGGGGCCACGCTCCGCCGCCTGGCCGGTGCCTGCGCCCAGGTTGAGCTCTTCCCTATAGACGATGTCTTTCTGGGGATGTGTCTGCAGCGCCTTCGGCTCACACCTGAGCCTCATCCTGCTTTCCGCACCTTTGGCATACCCCAACCTTCAGCTGCGCCGCACCTGCGCACCTTTGACCCCTGCTTTTACCGTGAGCTAGTTGTAGTGCATGGACTATCGGCCGCTGACATCTGGCTAATGTGGCACCTACTGCATGGTTCGCCTGGGCCAGCCTGTGCACATCCACGGCCTGTAGCTGCTGGCCCCTTCCAGTGGGGGCCGTAGTAACATGTCACAGCCCAAAGCTCCCCTCATTCAGATCCAGGATGTAGAATGGACGAGTTTCCCAGGTGGATTATTGCAGGGTATGTGATTCTTCCCCAAAAAGGGGCATAAGAGTTCAGGAACCAGCTGGTGTCAGATGTCTGCTTCCTCAGGGTTCCAGGGAATGAAGATTGCGCTTGGTTCCTGTCCCCCTACTTGGGAGCTGATCTGGAACCATCTAATGACAAACCTTTGAGGGGTAGGGGGGATGGGGTGTGTGGGAGTGTGTCGGGAGAAGTGGTAGGGACTCATGGACTCTGACCACACAACTTGGTTTGAAACCCCGAGGATGCACACATACAGGCCTTTCTCACAGCTACATCCCACAAGGAGGTGTGGGGATCTGGCTTCAGCCTTCATGGAACTGGCAGACATTCCATTAAAACTCAATCCGAAAGTAGGCATTTTGTTTCCCATCTGTCTCTCCAAATTGTATTTTCAGCCTTGTCGAAGCCTTTAGATCTCCTTTTGAGGAGACACCCCCTTCCTGGGCCCTGGTTTGGTTGCAACAGCAGGGATCGAGACACACAGGGCAACTAAGTCTTTCCCCACCTCCAACTAACCCATACCCACACAACTAGGGCAATCTATTGCCCCTTCAGAGGAGCCAAGGAACCTCTTCTAAGATGACTCCACTATACATTTCCCACATTCTAAAAAAAGAAGTCAATGACCCCGCACTTATTTTAGTACAAACATCCCAGCAACAGCACGTGGTGAGCCATTGCTAAGGGCATAGGTCTTTATTGGAGAGAGGTGTGGGCAGGACATGAGGAAGGTTCCCCCATTCCAGGAGGATGAGATCAGTCCTGGCTGACCCAACATGGGGATGTGTGGAGTGGGGGTTGGGTGGTGTCTCTGGCCAGGCCACAGTCCAAATGGGAAGACACCAGTCAGTCACAAAGTCACAAGAGCGCCACACAAGCCTGGATGTAGGCCCAGGAATCATATAGGAACCTGGGGCAGGTCCCCTGCACATTCATCGTTAAACTATACAGGATGAGGCTGTACATGAGTTAATTACAAAAGTCATATTTACAAAAATCTGTACACACATTTGAAAAACTCACAAAATTGTCATCTATGTATCACAAGTTGCTAGACCAAAATATTAAAAATGGGATAAAATTATACATTTCTCTTCTCAATTCTTTTCAAAAGGTTAATATTTTTAAAGCACATATGCTACTTTCCTTAGCAAGACCCATGAAGAGGCTGAACAGCTCAGCCCTCCTTGAGTCCCCAAAGCCTGAGCCATGAATGGGCCCAGCCAGGGGACACTGCCCAGGATTGGGGCAGGGGAGCCAGCCCACAGTGCAGAACAGAATGCTGAAACACAACAAAGGAGGAAGATGTCTTTGGCTAAAACTTTGGCATTAAATAAAAGAGGCAAAAAGGATGGAAACATGCAGCCCTGCCAGCCAGGTTGGGGCATAGCGGGGCAGAGGCAACGTTGAAGGCTGGCTCTAAGAAAGATGGGAACCAGGCCTGGGCACGTACCTGGATGGAAGAAAGCTGTTTCAACCAGTTGGGTGTGCCTACTGGGCCTGGCAGGGATCGCGTGCAAGAAAGGAACAAGGAAGGGCAGGTGGGCCACCTTGGCAACAGCCAGCTCATCAAGTAACTAAAGTGGATGTAGTGCAAAAGTTGCAACTAAGTCCTAAGGATGTGCTACCTGCTTGCCTTAAGGGTCATGTGGCAATGCTGGGCCAAATGCAGGACCATGTCCTCGTCCTGGGTGCCTGCGTTCTCAGCCACAGGGTCCCAAGTTTTCCGATGTGTGTGGGATAGAGGAGACAGAACCCTGCCTCCTTAAGTGTTAGCCAAAAGCTCCTGGGTTCAGGTATCAAGGCTCAGAGTTTGTGCTTCTCTTTGCAGTCTGTGTCCCCTGTTGGCACCAGCAGGCTGAGGACGGACAGACTAATACCTGGGTCTCTCATCTCATGGCAGAGCACCCAGCCTGAGCCTCATCTCAGAACATCACAACAGCCCTTCAACACTGGCAAGGTGTCCAAGAAAACCCACAGGTGGCACATGAAGACCCGCTGAGGAGGATGTGACGCACAGTTCCACGGGGGAGAGGGGCACAGGTGGTGATGTCCCTAGGGGAGCTCTGCTGTTTTCAGATGGGCACCAGGCCTGGGGGGGCCATACAGGGTCACCGAGGCAATGTGGTTATTCTGCATAACCTGATGTGAGAAGAGGACAGCAAGTCAAAGGGACGGAGCAGAGCAAGCAATCAGACCCACAAAAACCACCAGTGGGATTAGCACTGGGGCTCAGATGGCAGAGAAAGGACCCAAAGAAGGCCCTGTAAATGGGCGTGGAGGTTGTGTGTACAACACAACTGCACAGGACTGGGCCAATCCCTCAACATCCCTTATCTCATGTTAGGCATCATTTCTGCCCTAGCGTCTGCCTGAGCCTCATGGGATACATATACTCCACCACACCTATTTGTCCAGTTCTTCTGGAACTCTTCAGGGGCCTGCTGAAGGTTATGACACCCAGAAGAGAAAACAGGGCAGCCCATTCTTCTCCCAAGCCAGTGGGTCCCCCTCTATAGCATTTGAGTCCTACTTGCCCTGTGGTTCCTTTCCCTGATGTGCTGGTTTTAGGTATTGGGATTCCCGTTACCTCTCATCTTATTGGATCCAGAGCACTGCTTTAGCTTACCTGACCCTGAATTTCTCTAACATAATTTCTGAACCCTCACTGTTAAATTGGAGAGGTCAAGTTCTCAGCAGAGTGGTAGGGGAAGGATTAATCTGCCCAGCAGGGCCTTTAGGTCCTCCCTGATCTCTCTCAATGACTTGCCTCTCCCTGCCAGAACACCAGCCCCTCAGTCCCCAGGGCTTACCTCAAAGATCATCCGCTGCAGACCAAAGCAGAATGTGGAGCCAAATGGGTTGGTGTTGTTTGGGGAGGAGGACCTGAGGCCGGGGAAGCCAGAATTAGAAGGGCAGACCAAGGCCAGGCCAGCAGTCTCTTTTGGGATGGGGGCTATTAGCAAGTGGTCTATAAGTCCCACACAGGCCCCTGAGGTCTTGGAGGTAGCAATTGGCCTCAATCAGCCTAACATGGCACAAAAAGTTACTATGGAAGTGAACTGGGGTTGTGAGAAGTCAGGAGGCAGAGAGCCTCAGGCAGCATGAAAACCAGGTACTGGGTTGGACTACGGCTAGTAGCACTTTGATGGAAATGATAAGATCCTAGGGCAGTTGGTCATAATTGCCTCCCTTTCTGAATAACTAGGGGTGAAAAGGCTCTCCTATCTGGAGGTAGGTGGAGGAGGGGAGAAGCTATTCCCATTAGGCAACCTCTCTGGTACAAACACGCAATAGCAGGCCTAGTATTAATGTACAGAGTTGGGGAAGGAAGTATGCACATGTTTATCACTTATTTCTAAGCAATATCCACTGCTAGGCTTCCTTAGGCCTTCTGACAGGGTGGCCAGAGATGATAACCTCCCACACTCACCTGTGAAGGACAACAGGCTTCTCCACAGGGTGACCCAGGAGCTCCTGGATGTTGTCCCACTGCAAGAGGGATGGAGGCGGCAGGGGGTTAGAAGGGCCTGACCGCACCTGTGACCAACGGCAGGCTCAGATAACATGGGCCCCCGACTGCTAGCACGTTCATGACCACCTCATTTTCAGGCTGCATCAGGCGGGAAAATAGGAGCTCACCTTGCTATAGGTTGTGCATGTTTCTGTCTGACCATCTGCATTTTCTGAAAAGAGAATACAGAGTGGTTGGCAGCTGGCCCAGCCCACCTGTGACCCCAGCCCTAGGCAGAATCCAGATCTGGCCACCCTTTGCACTGGGGCTGGAGTATGAAGGGAGGAGACACAGACTGTTTTATTCCTGAATGGAAGAAAATGGAGGGTTGAAGGGAGGTCAGTCAGGTGTGAGCTACACCAACCAGAAGTGGACAACAATCACAAGGCTGGGCTGGGACCACTTGTATGATCATCTGTATGAGATCATCCTGCCCCTCTAATTCTGGCTTCCCCGGCCTCAGGTCCTCCTCATCACTTGTATGAGAAAACTCTCCCTTCTAGAGACCAGCCCTCCAGTTACAGGAAAAGACCTGGAAGGCCTCCATGAGACTACAGACCAACCACCGTAGCCTCCCCTTGCGCTCCCCCTCCAAACAGAGAGCTTAACCCAGAGGAGTCGAGGCTATGGGCAGGATCAGGTGGGCCAAGACTACATTAACCCACCTGCTACCATCCTCTCTACTTGGATCACTTGTCCCTTCTCATCATGAGTGACTGACCACAAAAGCCTTTTGTTATCCCAAGGACACTCACTACTCACCTTTCTTTATGGCTATTGGGATCTTGAACTCACAACGGTGATAACTAAGAGAGAAAAGGAAGATGTGTAAAGGCCAGGCCCCCTGAGAGGCCTAACCACCCCCACATCTTAGCTTTGCACTCCAGGAAAAACAGAATTAAGCACAACTATCCTAAGCCCGGTACTGGGCCTGACTCAGAATTCACTGGGGGAGGCCAGCTTAGGGAATTAGAGTTCAACAGAAAAGGTATAGCTCTGGGGTCTGAAGACTACCACCTTGGATGAGACACCAAGCTTTCTGAATTTATTTCCCTATTTGAAAACTGGGTAAAGATGGAGAGATGTAAGTTATTGGACACTATACCAGGAACAGAATAAACACTCAGAAAATGTTCATGTCCCATTAACCAGCAAGAATTTAGGTGTAGATAAATTAGTGAACTCTAAAGCCATAAGCTCTCTTTCCTGGGGATTTTTAGTCCAAAGCCCACTGCTCCGAGGGGCAGGTACAGGTATACTTACATATTGAAATTATAATGCCCAGGGTAATTGGTGTGAAGGACAAACTTCTTCACTTTGTGAGTGTTCGCGTCAAAGAGGATGTCCTGGGATAGAAAACAAGATGCCTAAGTCAGGAGAGTTACCGAGGCAGGGCAGCAGCCTTTCCCAGGGCATGTCCAACTCAGAGACACCTATTTCACCATGGGGATGCCTGCAGGCAAGAGCTTTCTCCCAAGCAACAATACTGGGGACAGCTGATGCCAAGCAGCCTTAACTGGACATTTTCAGTGAGGGAGGCACCCAACCGTCCATAGGCCCCCCCATTCCAAATCTTGTGCCAGCAGTCCTGGCCAGCACAGGTGGCTACAGCTCCCACTGCTTGGGAACTCAAATACATCAGATCTTTCCTGTCAAGCACTGGGATAAAAAATTAACTGAGCCACCTGGTTATTCTGAAATGTCATGACCGGCCAGAGACTCTCTGGTTTCCATTAGGCCCTCTCTATGGGTGTCAGCAACCCTGAAACTGAAGTTTCAGCCTCTTGCCAGGATTCAGACCTAGATTTGATGCTACCCATTGAGCACTTCCTACTATCCATCACATCTTTCCCAGCTTCACACCCTGCCAGCTGCTCAGGCCTGTAACCCCAAGGTTACCCCTGTCTCCACCCCTCCCCATCAATAGCCACACCAAGTCCTATCAGGGACAATACATTCTCTCCATCTTCCCTGCCACCTGTCATCACTGGCTCTAGAACTCAAAAAGCTCAGAACAGTGTCATGCCCTCCTGACACCATCCTAGCCCCAACAGTTTATGATCTCACTGCTCTTCTCAAGGAGAATCTTGGCTCCTGTTTGGTCTTTCCCACATAGGCAAACCCAATCTCTTTTTTCTCCTTCTCTGGAATCTACCCTTTCTTTGCTGCCCCAGGACCGCAGGCCCTTGAGAGCTCAGAGGTTAGAAGACCCAAGGTCCAGGTTAGCCCTGCCCTCGGAGATGTATCCTGCTGGTGCAGTGTTCACACAATCATTTATTTTCTTTTTAAAATATATTTTATTGATTTTTTACAGAAAGGAAGGGAGAGGGATAGAGTCAGAAACATCGATGAGAGAGAAACATCGATCAGCTGCCTCCTGCTGGAGATGTGCCCGAAACCAAGGTACATGCCCTTGACTGGATCAAGCCTGGGACCTTTCAGTCTGCAGGCTGACACTCTATCCACTGAGCCAAACCGGTTAAGGCCACACAATCACTGCTTACACACAAAATCCATCTACCAGCTAGACTGTCAGCACTGATGGTGACCACCAGCTCCAATCAGCACCC